GTTCAGACTTTTTCAGATTGATTTCTATATTGTTAATCTTGTAGAATTCTTCTGCAATCTTTATCATTTTTTCCAGGTCCTCTTTCGAGCTTGCTATATATGTTGTGTCATCTGCATAAACTATTACTTCTATTTGGAGGCTTTGTTGATGAATCGTATTGCTTGTAATAGCCTCTGGCCACTCTACTACTATTCGATGTCCTGCTTTTCTCTGTTTCTAAATTACAACTAGGAGAGAATCATAAAATATTCTCCATACCAAGGGTGAAATAACCTCTCCTTGGTCTATGCCATCTTTTGCAATAAATATTTCTGTATTTTTCAAACTTGTTATCATCTCCATTCTCTTCTTACTGTATAGCTACAATATAAAGCTCTTTGAGGCCTGTGGTAGCTTAATTCTTTCTAGTACTATTTCTAGCATCTTCATGCTAACTGAGTCAAAAGCCTTTCTCATGTCTTGAAATAGCAACCAGATTTCCTTTTTTTGTTCTTTTGCATCTTCTAACAAACAGTTAATTAAGTGAGTGGGATACCACCTGTAATATAAATTATATTACAGGTGGTATCCTACTTAAGTTAGATTATAGTATTACTATATAATCTAGATACCACTATATAATCCAAATATCATTATATAATCTAAATATCTCTATGTAGTCTGAATAGCACTACATAATCTGAGCATCGCTATATGATCTAAATAATAAAATCTAATAAATACTATATAATCTAAACATGCAATCTAATTACTACTATATAATCTATATATTTTCTATATTGGATATCTATTTTATGTTCTGGCTATCTCTTTGAACTCTTTCTGTTATTTATATTTTAACACTATATAATCTAACTACTATCTACTATTTAATCTAACTACCAGCATGTGATCTAAATACTGCTATTTCCTTCTTGTTTCTAATCTATTTATACATCAAATTCTATATTGTTCATACTGGTTTTCTGTACCTGTTTGGATGCTTGCTTCTATGTTGAGGATGCTGATCCTCTGTACTGGTCTGAGTGCTGGATTTTATATTGAGGTACTTACCTTTTTGCATCTATTTGGTTGCCTTTCTAGATGCCAAAGCTTATAACTATTTGTTTTTATTGCTTTGCATCTTTTTTATTACCTTGTAGCTATCTGTCAAAATAGTAAAAAATATTATGTCGGGTGGCGCAGTAGACCTATGTTTAATTTCGGTCAACACTATAATATAATTTTGGCTGATTTTTAGAACACATAGTTTGAGGATCCAAGTGGCACTATAGTAGTGGACCGATAGTGTCTAGAACTATCGTGGCACTAGTAGAGAACTAGAAAAATTTTATTAGTTTACCAGTTCTAGATTACTTTTATGCCAGTTTGGGTATCAAGTTATTGTATTTAAAGTTCTGGCCAAAATTATATAATAGTGCTAACCATAATTAACCGAATTTACTATGCCTTGGATTCTGGATACTTCCCTGTCACCAAGAGCGAGACCAAAGTTATTATGCTTATGATGTTTTCAAAGTATATTGGTGGGATGTTGTAAGCTTTTCTGAGGCCTGATCATAGTTTAAATACGCTTGTGCTGGTCAAGGTAATGAGTATGCTAATTTTTTAAGTGTCACTAGTGTCACTAGTTCCATATACTAACTAGTGACAGAACTAGTGACATGTTCGTTATGCTTCTTGAGATTATTAGGCTTTTTTATTTTCTTCTTGATTAGTGTCACTAGTGTCACTAGTAAAAAGTAGTAAATTTTAGAAAAAAAAATCAAATTTATCTATGCTATCCCTATAGTTATATGTGGTGTATATATGCTATAAAAAAATAAAAAAAGTTAAAAAACTCAAATTTTTCTAGTAACACTAGTGACACTAGTGATATCCATCAAGAAAACTTTCTTTCGGTCTAGGATTCCTAAAGAACCTATCGTTAGCGTCACTGGCTTCTGTCACTAGCTTTTTTTTCTAGTGACATTAGTGATAGCTTTTTTTTATCCTAAATTACCTATTGGTATCTGTGTCAAAGCCAAGTTCTCTAGCTTTTTTCGATAATACTATTCTATTTTACGATGCTTTCTAGCGTAGATATCGCAAGTACCATATTTGGAAAAAGTTAATTTACTGCATTCATTGCAAGGTACACGTGAGGGAGAGTTCCAATGAACTTGGCATTTTTCTGGTCAGTAGCATCCCCTATTGCAAACCTCACCACTCCTGAGAATATAAGGGCATCGATAAAATGCTATTTTTAATAATTATGAATAGTTAATTTATGTATCGATTTATGTATTTCAGAATTAATTTTTATTTTAAACTTTTTTCTCTCGGAATATATACATTCTCTCGAACTGTATATTTGTGATATTATACCATGACCCAATCTGAGCTTTCAGAGAATTTGGATAGCCTTGCCCTTTGGCAAGAATTTGCAAAAGATAAAATTGCTCGTGTAATTCGTTATTCAGGTGAAAATTACTTGATAGGCATCCCAACTCGTGATGAATTAGTTGCGAGAAACGATGAGGGATTGACTTCAACTCTTAATAATAAAATAGCGAACCATCTTGATATTCCATTTATGCTAGTTAATATAGAAGAAGCTAAAGAATACATTAATCAAATCCCTTATTATATTCTTCACCTTTATAGATACCTCATTAATGGTCAGAAAGCAGTTAT